CCCCCCAGCCATTATGCAGTAGTCCAGTAAATGATAGAGTTTCCTTCTGGATCTTCCTCATTGAAATAAAATGGAGATCTGAGTATCTTGAGTGGAGTGTACCTATGAAATTCATGTATAGAAGTAAATAAGAAATTATGAGTGTTCTAATGACCTGAAATATGCAGTAAACTTCGGGGGTTTTTGCCAAAAATATATCCACTAATACTTTGAGTACTAGGTAAAACACATTTTGTATATTATATATATATATATCTATAGGTACATATCCACTGCATTTATAGTGAAGTGGTGACAAAATGTTAGTTCCTTGAAGACTTACTGCAGTGTAGCCATATTCTAAAATGCTGAAACACTTTAGGGGAACCAGCTATGGCTGTTGGTGAGATGTGGATCTTTGCTGCCATTACTATAAGTACTTAGCTCATTGGAAGAATTCTTTGCAACATCTTCAAAGTTTATTTTCCGACATCAAAAATGAAGATTGAGCATCTGCTGTAAAATGCAATTCATTAAGTAAGCCAGCCTAAATTGTAAGGATATTCCTCTTCTAAGCTAAAGTACTGGAATCTGAATGACTAGAATAATAGCTCTTTCTAGAGTTCTTTAGATGGCAAGAGTTTGCAGGAAAAAATAAGTTACCTTAGGCATAATGTGCTGCATGCTACAGACTGTTGCAGTGTTTGTGCAAATGTTAAATATCAGGGTATGGATTAGAATTGTCTACTTAAGGAAATGTGCAATCCCGCATATATTTTTCTGGTTTTGAATGCTATTTTTTGGTGTTGACATCTGTACTTTTGTCATCTGTGCCTTTGCACAAGGACTCTGGCTACAGTGGGAGTGCTCCACCTGCCTTGGTACAGAGCTTTGCTACTTAAAGTTCTACGCTGTAGTCTCAATCTTGTTTATGATTAAGATCGTTTCTGACCTTGTGCAAAGATATCTTTGACCTTGTACAAAGCATTTCTGATTCCCTGTTTCTTTTTTTTAAAAATAGGGATGATAATACATTTATTACTATAATATGATGAAGTTAATCAGATATGATTTGTGAAAGGCTTTGAAGGTCTTCCTATGTAGTGGTTGTGCTTTACTAAGAATGCCTTGTTAGAGTGAGAGAATAATGTGAAACTTCTTTTAAGCTTGCCCTTACCATCGTTTTCTATGTATCCTTCCAAAAGTGTTATTTCCCAGCTTTGGTAATGTGTATTGTAAAGACCAGAAAGAGTTTCACAGGAATTGTTAGGCTGGATTTCCTACCCACCATGTCCTTCAGTTTCTTAGCTAGCTTTCTTCATGGGAGCTAAGGAAGAGGAAGAGGACTAAACTGGTTTGAGTTTTTGTCAACAAGAGCCATAGCATTCAGACATACCCAGATCTGTTTTGCTCACCAGCATTGCTGACTCAGTCATGCAGCAATGTCCAGGAGGAAGAAAGCCTGCAAAGGTCTGAAAAGGCTGTTCTGTGTATGCTAGTTGTGTTGGCAGAATGCACATTGCACCACGCAGACCTCCTTTATCATAAATGCTTAACCAATTTTCAATAGATGTAAGTGGTTTAAGTATTGCTTCCTGTTGAATTAGCAGTTGCTGAGCATTTGAGTCTTTGTGCAATCCTGCAATCCACTAATGTGATATTTAATGAGGAGACATCAGTCTGGAGAAAGGTAGTCAATATAAATCAGTGTTTACAAAGTGTGATTAACTCTGAAATATTTCATCAATGCTGTGGTCCCAGGCAGACTCTATGCTAATTATTAGAACCCGCACATGTTTCAGGGGACTTTGACGGACCCTGAGTGCAGCAAACATGGAGCAGCAAAATTGCAATTATGCTCGGACTGTCTCTGATGACAATTTATGCATTTGGTGTGGTGACCTCTTGCTTCCCAAGAGGGCAATAAACAGAATGCATTTTCATTAAGATACTAATGCACTTAATCACAGGGGGAAAGGGTTAGAAAATAAAGAAATACCTTCAAAGCAAGATCTGACAGCCGGATGGGGAAGATACTTTATTTAAAAGTCAGTTTCCTGTTGCAGCTTCTGTCTGCCGCAAAGTCTGTCATGCTGAATGTAGTCATGGGCAATAGGATGCATAGCTGGGCAGAAGAGTAAGCTGAGCTAAGCTGTTTTATGAAAAGTGCAGTGGTACCAGGGCAAAAGAGAACAAGTATTCTCCCATTTGGATGCGCAAAGATGTGATTTTTTTAAAAAAATGTAAAGAATATTACTCGTATGTATTTTACACATTTATTCACAAGCTTTTATTACCTTATTTTTTTGAGGAGAAATAGTATGTACTAAGCAGTAATAAAAAAAAAATAAATAAATGAAGACACTGCTTTGCCCACGAGGGCTCACACTTAAGGATCTAGCTTATTCTTGGCCCTAAGGGGAGTTGGGAGAAGGAGAAGCAGAGACAAGCATCTCTCCCACTTTTTGTTAGTCTCACAGCTTGGCAAGAATGATCCTATTCCTGATGCCTCTCAGTACAAGAACTCAGTCTAAAATGTGGAGGGAAGGGGACATGTCCTGGGGGAGATATCTGTCCTGGCAGCTGTAGAATTGCTAGATGTAGAGGCAGTAATGCCAGTGAGCCCTGCCTGATACACTGTGCCTGCTGTAGTGGAAGCAGAAGGGTGAAACTCTGTAGTACCTGTTACAGTTGATTGTGCAGTAAGGCATGACAGTCTTCTTTTCATATCCTAGGCAAAGAAAGAGTAATGAAATTGGCAGAAAAGGAAAATGAAGAGTGCTCAGACTAGGAACCTAAGCATGTGGCTTGGTACAGAAAATAAATGATAAAATTTCTACCTTGTACCACCAGGAATAGCCTATGTGAAAGATTTTGCTAGGGACCATTTATGGAATTGGACACAGACTCTCATTAATTGTTTTTGTATATACGTCTTTCATCTATCTGTCTAGAGTGGGGAAAAAAAAGATAAAAGCCCTCATCTTTTACCTCAACTATTAATTTCTACTTGAAAAGTTCCAAAATTGAACACAACAGCAATAGTATGAGTATATCCATTGTGTTGGTTGGTCAGTGACTCTGAATACCTCTTTTCCTGTATGTTGCATTTCAGGTAACATAGAATACAGCTGCCCAGCAACAAATGAATGTGAAATCACAAAGCGCAGACGCAAGTCCTGCCAAGCCTGCCGCTTCATGAAGTGTCTAAAAGTTGGCATGCTGAAAGAAGGTAAGACTGACCAAGTCAATATGTGTCTCTCTGCAAACACATGCAACAACTGTAGGTCAATCAGGAAAGAAAAGAGACTGGTGAGTGTTCTAATCAGTTACTATAAAGGCAATTTTAATTTTCATGTGTACTTGCTCTTTCTGATGGTCTGCTTCTAAGATATTGAATTATGCTTTATCCACATAGAGTTCATCATCTCTGGAATATTTCTAATCTTGTGTAGTACAGCAAAATGCACCCAACATTCAATCTTCTTCAGTAGGTAACTGAAAGAATAATCTTAAGAATTCTCAAAGATTTCTTTCCTCCATGCCTTATCCACTCTTAGTCTGTCCCAGTTCTGGCAGAAGAACTAAATGCACTCCATGCCATCTTTTCCCTGTTTTTAATTATGTCATCAGGACAAACAAAAGGGTTACTTCTCAAATAAACAAGTGTAAATAGTGAGTATGTGTACTGAAGTTACTGTAACTACACTGGAGCAAATAATGGTATTTTCTGAAAGCATGTGAGAACCCCGGCCCCTCACTGTAAGTATATGTTGAATGTTTTAATTCATCAGTTATATTTTGAAGAAATTGAATAACAGGTAAACATAATAAAATGTTTTCAAGAGTGCTATCTCACCTGGAACCTGATTCATTTTTCTAACATCTATGGTACAGAAAGAGGCAGCTCAAATCTTGGTTGCCTGCTATGCCCTTGTCTTGTTGTTAGCATATATGCAAATGTACACTGTTATCTGCATGTATTGTATGCATTATTATTGTAGAGCACTTTTACCACCAAGAAAGATGTAATGGACTTCTGAACTAGATAAACATTTAAAATGAAATCAATATAATGTTCTCTTAATACTGTATCCGGTGGAGAGTATTTTGTGTTAAGCAACTACTTCAAAATCGTCCCATGCAATTTTGCTTAGTGCTTAAAAACTCGGCTGGGTGAGTTTTGCACATTGTTTGATGGTAATTTAAAAAAGGTTTAAGTATACAGCTATCAGGGTAAAATCTAAGAACAACATAGTCCAGTGGAGAGATGATGGACAAATTAGGCCTATCACGCACCTACAGACATATTCTTATTGGATTATACTTACTAAGAATAAACCTTGTTCTGTGCAACTGCTTTGGCAGATGCTATGATCCTGTGAGCCAAATCCTGCTGTCCTCAGTCTTACTTGAGCAAAACTCCTGTCAGATTCAATGGAGATTTTGCCTCAGTAAGAACGGCAGGATTTGACCCTCTCTTCCAGTGGTGATGGTAAGGTTCTTACTTGCCAAAATCCTCATACAACTGACCACTAGGAGCAGTTCCTTAAAAGTGAAATAATGATGCTTAGATAAACTGTAGAAAGAAAGGAATGTCTGGGTACGGCACCTTTTGAAAAGGGCATCTTTTTTTAGTAAGTTAAGACCCATATCACTAGTAACCTAATATACAGATATATTGAGCAGCTTGTTTGGAAATGAAACAGTGCTAGCAAGAGTACACACAGATGAATTGATTTAGTTCTTTTAAGTTTTGAGGGCACCATTGCACATCCATTAACATATATATTTAAAAATCTAGGCTGAGTGCAGCTTCTGGGACTGCACGAGGAAGTTGACATTCCTACAAATGAGTAATTTTCTCAGTTACCAAAATTGTGTGAAGATTTACTATGTTTCTGCATACAATTTTGATAACAGAGATAACTGATTAGACAATTCAGGTGTACGTTGTAACTCACATTTTTTTGTATGAATGTTCATTGTCTATGGATTCAAATCAATCCCACAAGTTTTCTTAATCGGAATTTCTAAGAGTACATACCTTTTCCTGAATGTTCTATAATGACAAAATAACTAATTGCTTTGGAAAGAAGGTTTCTTTCTTAGCCTCACTCTTGGGCACATCTCAGTTCATCCACTTGTATGAGGTTTTTCTGTCAAAACACAGTAAGATTTCTACTTATTTTTAATTACTGAGTCTTTTATTTTAGGGGAGAGGTACCTTATCTTTTCAGACATTGCTTATCTACTGCCTAATAGGACAACCTGCAAGAACTTATAAGGGCATTTTATTTTCTTTTCCCCTTTAGTGACCTCTTTACTTTGGAAACCATACTGATTCACAGTACACTTGTAGGACTGTACTTGTAATAAGGATTTTTTTTTTTCTGTTCTTCTTGGAAGGTAGTTTTGGAGACAGGTGTTGGTTTTACCTGTGGGAAAGTCTGGGTATGACTTTTTGGCTTTTTATGTACAGAATGAAAAATGTGATACACTGACTTCTTTCATGCGTATAGTGGTATAAATTTATTGATTAGCATGGACTTTAAAATAAGCTGAAGTAATTATTGCTGTATCTTAAATGTTTCTTTATGTACAGACAAGGATTTCAGGCCCATGCAGCATGTCAGAGATCATGCCGCAGTAAATCTATTCAAATGTAAACCTGTTCAATTCAATTACCAGTTTATAATAAAATTTGCTGCTGCAGCCTCTACGTTTGTCACAGCAGTCTCTACATGCTGATGGCACAGCATGCCTGGAAATTGACAGCCTAAATCTATTTAGAAAAAAATTTAGTTGCAGACCTGAAATAAAATCAAGTTTAAGCAGCTTTGAGAGGAGCATCGCATTCCTTACAAGAACTGCACATCTGCCAGGGTGTGTCTTCTCCAGAAATCTTATGCTGTTTGTGGGGAGTTTTCTTCTATAAATTTTCATTAATAAACAGTTTTTAAGTGTAATCTGAAGTGAAACAATTATCATATGTTGTGCTTCCCCTCACATTTGAAAGTACTTTATTACACTGTCATTTTGGGAATTGTCATATAAATTTCATGACAAAAATCACAGTGCCTGCTAAAAGATTATGAGTTTTAGTTTAGCTTCTACAGCAAGGTCCAAAACCACTTATAGCAGATGTATTGAGTGGCTTCCTTTATGGCATGTGAATGTTAAATCATTTATCGTAGGAAGATAATGGTGGTTTTTCACCCAGTGTTCCGGTGAGAGACCTAGTGTTAGGATTTTGGGGCTGTGTTTTGGGGTCAAATCCTGGGAGAGAATTTGATTTCTGGTCACGTATAATACAGGGCGGAGTGGGGATTTTCTGTACATATTCTCAAGGATGTCAATGGGGCATAGCCAGCAAAACCTAGATCAAGATTCTTAACGATTTATAAGTTGTGGGCCAGGAGCCAGAGAAGGAACAGTAAAGCAATGTCATATTGGGCTGAGCTGGGTGGGGATTGAGGGCCTGGCTCCTGTCTGCCTCTTCCAATTAAGTATCCCAAGAAAGTTACTACAGGCTGATCCAGGGGAACACATCATTTTGGTTTAACCCATGGACTGTTACTTGAAAACACAAGTCTGTGTGTGTGTATGCTTTTTGGGTGTGTGTTTTGCTTTATACTGAAGCATTCAGCAAATGAGGTTTTATTTTAAGCACATGACAAATATGAGGGTGTCATATTTTCATTTACTTTGCTGCATAATGGTTATTAGCAGCACCTCAGAATACACTTCACTCAAAGAAAGTTTTCTAATTCTAATTTTGTGTGTCAGTATTAAGAAAAATTGGATTTTCAAGGATCACAGTTGGTTCTTCCGAAATACAATTTCTTTGACGGCAGTTTTATTTTGGTGGATCTCTCGTTTCATGGGAACAGATGAAACAACATTAAAGATTCCTGCATAGTCTAGGGAGAAATTTTTCAAATGTATCCCTAAAGATTTCTTTAAAGAATATTGCAATTGCTAAAAGGGTACAGGGAGACACATAAAACAATTTGCACTTTTAAAAATTGAACACTTTTAAGACATTCCCTAGTTTTCAGTTCTGTTAATTTATAATCAGTTTGGCCTTTCAAACGGCAGAATAAAATGGCAGAAAATTTGAATTTGTTCATGTAAGTATGTTTATATTTTCTTTATGAATGTCTACCCTTTACCAATTATCATCAGTCACTTTGTACTCAGTTTGAATAGGCAGAACGACAGAATTCCAGTTTAATTTGTCCAGCAATTACAAATGGGAAGCCAGATCCTCACCAAGTACTAATGGAAGCTCTTGGAGCTACCTTAGATTGCTGTTCATTTGGCAGGCTTAGCAATCTATGCTATGGGGAAATCAGCAATATACCCTTTCATGTCTATGAATCTTTACTGTTGCTCATATGTTAGCCATCATTCAGGCTCTAAAAACGAATAGAAACTCTCTGAGCTTGTAACCTGGCAGTGCTGACTGAGTGTAACCCTTCCCATCACAGCAGTGCAGTTAGCATATTATGCTTGCCCTTCTCGCTGAGTAGCCCTTAACACTTCTCATTCATTAGTTTGCCTGGGTTTTTTAAAACACTTTCATACAGTCCCTCAAAGTGGCCTCAACATCCCTAGGGCAGTGGTAAGGCAGTAGTTAGAATCTGCCTTGTAAAGAAATTCTGTACTTTTTTTTTTCCATCAGCAGTGATCTGAATAAAAGCAATTACTGACCATTTAAAAAATGCGTATATGTATTAGATGGTCATGTCAAGAATCAGAAGATTATTACACATAAGTTAAACTTTTTCTTAATGTGCTAAAATCGGGGTTATCTAAACTATTTTTGCTTTGCACTTTGAAAGATTTCATTAATTCACATTTTAAAAAAGAGGTATGTGTATTTTGAAGCATGAATTACTGAGTTCGTTATGCAAAGATAACCGTATGAACATCTTTGGCTTGTGTTAAGCAGCAGATCGGATTAAACTATCATATTGATCCTTTCTGGTTTTGACAATCTATGAAAATGAATCCGATACAGCAAGGAGAACAGGCTGCTTGAATTCACTCTTACGTAAAGAGATGCGTGATATGCAGAAGAGCAGATTAATGGATTCTGTCTCAAAATAATAAATAAAACTAAGCAATCTTCTTTATGACTAAAAATGTGTTGTCACCTATGTTTGAAGGCTAATGAAAAAGCCTGCTTAATAGGATTCCTTCTAACAACATCTCTTTTGAGAAGAC